CAATCACTGACAGTTCCCTCTGTTTTTCTCCCTTGTGCAGCCCCGGGAGCGGCACCCCTCCCCCCATCCCTTCCCTAGTCCCAGCCTCACTCCCTCCCTCCCTCAACACCATGGGAACCTATACCTATTTATTACATTATAAAGTGGGTATATGTTATGTGAATTTGATTTATGTGCCATTCTCCAGGATCATATGTACCACATAAATCAAGGGAAATCTGTAATTCCTTTCATGGGTGGAAGGCCAGAGCAAGTTAAACTAAATCAATGTGAGGTCAGCCAAGTTTAGTCTTTTGTTACAAGCAAGAGTGAGCCTCTAAAAAGAGAAGGAATGAAAATGTACAACTTTTGTTTCTACTCTTTGTGTTTAAATGAGTCTCATACATATAAATTAAATACAAAACTGTACAAGAAAGAAAAACGCTACTCAGCTTATATGATGTTCTTTCTTCCTAAGATGGCCGATCTCACTCTCAAATCCACTACCTACAGTGACCAGAAATGGAGAAAAATATGGGACCCATTTTGGATTAATAAAAAAAGACTGCTGGACAAGAATGAAGAGAAGATAAGGAGAGAACAGTCTAGTCTGGCCAGACTTGAGGGCTCAGGACATGGTCATCTTTCAAATGAATGGAGAAATCAGGTGTATGTGGAGATATTGCTTTTATCCTCTGTTTCTTCCTCTTATTGTAAATTCCCTCTTGATGGAGGATTATGGGAGCACTGTCTCGTGTTGGGAGGGTGATTTTCTTGGCAGCATGTCTTCTCATAGTCATGTTTTTTATGGCATGTTCGATGGGGGACGCTGTAAGGAAGTGTGCCACATCAGTGCTGATGATCATGCCATTAATGAGTCTACCTATGTGGGTCTTACAGGATGTGCTCAGTCTTGGGATCAGAACCCTGATGGGTTCACAGCTGGGAGAGTGCCCTCCCCTGCTGAGGGAATGATGCTGGGGAAAATGTGTTTGGACAATTCTGCAGTGTTTTTAGTTTCCTTACG